TCACCATGGCCGAGCAGGTGAAGCACCAGACCAAGTGCTCCGTCTGCCGGCAGTGCCCCATCAAGGGCTTCAGGTAGGGGCTGTGGCAGGGACCCTGGCCCCAAGGGGAGTGTGTGGTGTCCTGCAGGAGAGGGCTGAGCTCACTGTGTGCTGGTGGGGGAGCCTGGAGCTCTGCAGTTAGCAGTGTTTCGGGCAGGGTGGAGCAGGGGAACGAGCAGGATTCTTTTCTGGGGACTTCAGCCATAGCTCTGTGGGTTTACTGGGGTGTTAGAGCAACACAGGCCACCTCTGCCCCCTCCCACTGACCTCTTCTTGGGCTTTAAACATGTATTTTTGCTGACTTCCARTGCTTCCCTATGGCCTCTTGATCTCCCCAGGTATCGGAGCCTGAAGCAGTTCAATGTGGATATCTGCCAGACCTGCTTCCTCACCGGGCGAGCCAGCAAGGGCAACAAGCTGCACTACCCCATCATGGAGTACTACACCCCGGTATGGGGCTGGGCAGGGCTGGGAGGGCCCTGGTCACAGTAGGTCCCATTGATGGCAGCAGCCTCGTGATGTTTAGGATGCTGCAGCCCCAGAAGTGGATCCCTTGTGTACTTTTGTGTCCCTCTGCATGCTGCAGGCTGCTTGTGTCCCTGCTGTTCTGGGGCTCATGGTGAGCAGGATGCATGGCCCCAGCCAGTGCCAGACCCCATGACAGGCTGACAGAGCTGCTGCGTGCCCTCCTTCCTCCCTCAGTTTTATCTCTCTTCCCCTATGGAGCCCATGCCTGGCCTGAGGAGACTTGTTCCTTGTAGGAGCTGACCTGTGGTCCCCACTTTTCATGAAGCAGCACCTTTGTCATATTTGTGTCTCTGCAGACCACGTCCAGTGAGAACATGAGGGACTTTGCCACGACACTGAAGAACAAGTTCCGCTCCAAGCAGTACTTCAGCAAGCACCCCCAGAGAGGTTACCTGCCCGTCCAGTCCGTGCTTGAGGCTGACTTCTCTGAGACGTGAGTTGGCTGTGCCCTGGCTTTGTCTTTTGTCCCAGACTGATACCTGGGCTCTGTGGATGGAGGGAGCATCTCAGCTCATGCAGGGCTCCTGTGGGAAGGCTGGAGGAGCACTGGGTGTGGAATGACACCTTGAAACAGCAGAGATTTCAGTCTCCCTCTGCAGCCTGTCCCTGGCTCTTCCCAGCCAGGTGAGGTCAGCCTCTCCCAGGCCTCGCTGACCAGTGTGCATCTCTTGCAGCCCAGCCTCCTCCCCGATGTTACCGCACGCCGACACGCACTCCCGGATCGAGCACTTTGCCAGCAGGTACCACCACGGGGCTCTGCCTGGGCACAGAGTGTGACCTTGAKAGGTGTGGAGGGAGTTTGGGACAGATGTGTGGTCACAGACCCTTCCAGCCTTCCTGGCAGCTGCTGCASAGCCAGGAAAACCTGCCAGGGACATGGCTGATGCCATGTAAATGCATTTTCCAGCATCCTCTSTGTAGTGTTCTGCATATACTGTACCTCCTTTCAGTACCTCCATGTACTGTCCATTATGAGCTGTGGGTTGGATTCTCACCAGGCACATCCCTTGGTGTCTGGCTGTGYTCTGTGTCCTCACCAGAGCTGTTTGCCAGCCTCCCACTGCTGCTGCCTTGTGGTCTGTGGTGCCTCTGCTCTTGCCCTGGGGATCTGAGGGGTACAGGGAGCCTGAGTTAGCCTCTTACACCCCTTTGCTTTGCTTGTGAGAGAGGAGGCTGAGCCAGCTGCACAATAGCAACCCTTTATTCTAGAGAATGACAACAAGAACAGCAGTGTATTTTTGTTTTTAAGAAGGCAAAACTCTCTAGAGCCTGTGCAGAGGGGCAGGCTGGTGCAGGCCAGCTGAGAGACCCTGCCAGAGAGGGTTTTTGCAGGGGCAGCAGGGTGCACTGAGCAGGCATTCTGGGTATCTCTGACCATATCTCAACCTATTTCTCTCTCCTCCAGGCTTGCAGAGATGGAAAGCCAGAACTGTTCMTTCTTCAGTGATAGCCTGTCCCCTGATGACAGCCTGTAAGTTGTGTCTCCTCTCCCTTCTCCTCACCTCCTGATGAGTCAGGGCTCCCGTGGTTCTATCCATGCCTAGCCAGGGCACAGAAATGCTTTCCTTCCAGTCCCACTGAGTGAGAGGCTCGTGGGCACCCCCAGCTACCAGGGATGCTGAGCCACTTCTGAGCTCTAGGCCTGGAGCAGCCAGAATGAACTCCCCTCYGAAACAACCTCGCTCCAGGCTGTCCTTCCCCAAGGGCACACAAATCCCAGGATTTTAATAATTAAGGTGTTTRTCCACCTGCTGGAACAGAGACGAGGATCAGTACCTGCTGCGCCAYTCCAGCCCCATCACCGACAGAGAGCCTGGGGGCAGCCAGCAGCTTCCAGGAAGCCTCAGCATGGATGACAAGGGAGAGCTGGAGCGAGTCCTGGCCCACTTAGAGGATGAAAACAGGTACAGAGAGGAGCAACCGTGAAAGTGGGGGTTACAGCCTGAGATGGGGGAAGGGACTGGAAAAGCCTTGCAGAGCTCAGAGTGGAGCCAGGGGATCCTGCTGGGTCTGGAGGTGGGGGCTGCAGGTGCTGAGAGGGCAGTTTGGGAGGGTGCCTGAGCTGAGCACTAAAACTCCAAGGAAGGGAGATGACTCTGCTCCCTGAAATGTTCCTTCCCACATCCCCAGAACCTGTTCCCTCCTGAACCCCCACTGGTTGAAGCAGCCCAGGGCACTCTGCCTTTCTTGTGCCTGAGACCCGGCTGAGCAGTAGTAGTACTGCTCTGGACCACACAGGGTGAGGCTCTGGGCAAGGAYCATCAGCTGTTTTCAGCCTCCCTGCTCTTGTTTTCAGCTTCTTGGGAAGTGCTTTCATCCCTGTGAACTCCCTGAGTGGGGCAGAACCACAGACAGGCCCCCCTGCAGTGGAACATCCTGGCCCTTACGCTGCACAAATGGCAAAGCTTTGTCTGGGCCATCCCCAGTGTGCAGCTCCCGGGTGTTTGCAGCACTCTCTGKGAAGAATTGTGGTGATGCTGACCTGGGCTGTCCTGCAGGATCCTCCAGGGAGAGCTGAGACGTTTGAAATGGCAGCACGATGAGGCGGTGGAGTCTCCAACGTTGGCTACAGGATCTCCCGAATCCGTGCAAGACCCGCGAAACGACGAGCTCCTGGCAGAAGCACGGATCCTCCGGCAGCACAAGAGCCGCCTGGAGACACGGATGCAGATCCTGGAGGACCACAACAAGCAGCTGGAGTCYCAGCTGCACAGGCTGAGGGAGCTGCTGCTGCAGGTGTGCTCAGGGCAAGGGTGGGGTGGGCTTTGCCATGGCAGAGCTGTGACAGTGGCATGGCGGGGATGGGCAGAAGGGGGGATCACAGCAACCTTCTCACAATAACCCTTCTCACCGCAGCCTCCAGCAGAGTCAGAAGGCAATGGCTCGGCAGCCTCTTCCTTGGCTTCATCTCCACATCAGTCAGAAAGCAGCCAGGCAAAGGAGAGAGAGCACAACACCCCTGACACCGAAACTGCAGGTGAGGTTTGGGCTCGGGCTGCATTCCTGGCCCTGCTCCCTCGTTTCCATGCTGCAGGAAGCTGCCTGCACCCTGCCATCCTGCAGAGATGCTGGCAGCCAGGCAGACATCCAGAGGGCCTGTTCACACCCCTGCCCTCCTTCCCGCTGCAGATGAGGTGGAAGCCAAAACCCAGGAAGTCAGCATGTGCCTGGAAGACATAATGGAGAAGCTGCGGAGCGCCTTCCCCAACTCTCGAGGTACTTGAGTGAAATCCTCCTCTCTCGCTTCTTACTGCTCCCTCAGGTGAGGTTTTCCCCACAGAGCCCTGCCCCGATCCCAGCTCCCCTGTGACAGCTGATGACCCGCAGTGCTTCAGCCAAGAGCTTTGCTGCTGCAGTGCTGCTGGGACGGGGTGCCAGGCCTGGGAACAGAGAGGAGGAGGAGGAGKCTTCGCAGCTGCAAGGAGAGGMGATCAGAGCTGCCAAGAGCACAGACCAAACAGATGCCCACGATGATCTGCAGGGCAGCCTCCTGCCCTGCTCAGGACCCTGCACCCTGTGTGAGGACGGACAGACCTGCCAGCACCCACCTGCAGCGATGGCTTTGAGCCACCTCCTGCCCTCATCCCTGTGCACGCCCTGGGCACGAGAGGTCAGGCCCCAGTTGCCTGGTGAGGTGGAAGCAGTGCTGGAAGCTCTCCTGTCTGCTCATGGACGGCTCTTCCCAGCAGGGATGGAGACTGGGGCTGTGTGTGTGGATGGCACTGCGCTCACYCACTGGGGTTTGGTGTTGGTCATTCTGCTCTTTCCCTCTGTGCTCCAGTCCAGGAGCAACACTCGGTCTYTCACCCAGGCTGCCAGAGGGAGACCCTCCTTGGTGCCAGCACTAGTGTGAGCTGGTGGTCTGCCCATGCAGGCTCTCGCCATCCCTGAGCAGGATCCTCCTGGCTCTGCAGCAGCCCCTTCTAACCAGGTGGCTCTGGCTCCTATTTTCCTGACCTGTCTATTTCTCTTTCAGGTATGACCTCCCTTATCTAACACCTCCTGTGAGCCAGAGGCTTTTCCTAACCAGCTACCTGGCTGCTTTCCTCCCCCTCTCTCCCTGCCATGCTCCCTGTGCTGCAGCAGACCTCACACAGACTCCCTCCGAGCTGGTGGTGCAGGATGCTTGCCAGCTCCAGAAGATCTCAGGGGAACATAGGTCATGCAGGAGCGGGACTGTGGGCTCCCCAGGAGGCTGGTTTGGTCACTTGGCCACAGTGTCCAGGCCTGGGTGGGATGGTCAGAAGAAAATTGAAGCCATGAAAACTGCCTGTCCCCCCTGGCACCCATAGGCTGCTGCCTTTGCCTGAGCAGAGCTCAGCGTCCCACTCTTCATTTGTGCCCAGGAGCCTCCAGGTTGATGGGTACCAAAACACTCCTGGAGCCACACGATTTTTACAGTAATTCTTTATAACAGCCTCCAGCTGCCAGCCTTATGGTTTGARCTCCACCAGCCAAGGCTCTGCAGCCAGCCAGGCACACACCACCAGGAGCGAGTCTGTGAGGTTTATGGAGTAGGGATTGAGTCCATGTTAGAGCTTCAGCCCAGCTAGCAGCCTTACACTGAGAGGGTCTTTATAACAGAGCCTTATTGTTTAATTTGCATATATTTCTATATATTATATATATATACTGTACTTAAATACTCTCATGGACTCACTCTATTAAACTCTAATACCTTAAGTGTAGCTGCCCTTCACTTTCAGACCAGCCCAAGCCCTGCTCCCATGGGAACCAGCCCCTTCCCTGTCGTGGTGCTGCCCTGCAGGGCTGCTGGGAGGGAGCTCAGTGAGGGTCCTTCATCCCAGCTGGCTTCCCTGGCATCTGTGYCTTTGCTGTGGCACAGAGCCTGTCCTGCACGGACCCAGCTCCATCCCTGGGGAGCCTCAGCTGCTGCAGGGAGGGGTTCCTCCAGCCATGCTCCAGCCCTGGGGCCACCACGGTCTGATGGAAGTGCACAGCAGTGTGGGTGGGCAGCAGGACAGGCAGGGCACATCCCTGCTATCCCCAGGGAGCAGCTGCTCCACTGCTGGCCCCGATTTCGGGTTGAGCTGGGGGGCTGGAGGCTCTTGCTGGCAGCAGGTGAGTCCCATGGGGCGGTGTAAGGGGTGCTCTGTGAGCTGGCAGGGCAGCTTGGGGTGGTGGTGGCTCCTGGTCCCCAGGGGTCCCTCGGGCTGGCTGTTGTGCTGTGTTATGTCGAGAAAAGGCAGAGTCAGGTGCTGCAGGGTAACCCAGAGCCGGGGCTGAGATGGCCCTGGAGCTCTGAGACCACAGGCTGTGGAGAGATGTGGTGCTTGAGCCCACAGGGCAGGGCAGGGCTGTGCACGGGTGTGAAATGTCTGACCTAAACAGGGCTTGCAAGGACAGAGTGGGGCTGTTTCTGCTGGCAGCGATGGGGTATGGTGCTGAGCTGACCAGGCAGGTTGTGACCAGGGCAGGGAGTCAGGCCCGGGGCTGTGGGCTTGGATTTGGGGTGTTGGCAGAGGGGAGGAGCAGTGCCCACACCGAGGGTGAGGTGGTGTGAGCCTTACAGTTCAGCATGTAGTGCTCCAGGGGGCTGTCCTTGCTGTCCCCTCTCCCGGCCGGGTGAGTGGCCCGAGGGCAGCAGTGGTGGCATTAGGGTGGCTTTGGGCATGCCATGTGTCAGGCKGCAGGTGACAGGGTCCATAGGCCAGCCTGTGAGAGCCGGCTCTGTTGTCCCAGGGCAGGGTGGCAGCAGCATAGGGAGGTTTGGCTGAGAGTGTGGTCAGAATTATCCAGCCTGGGGGGAGCTGGAGGAAGGAAAAGGGCAGGATGGGGACAGAGCTRCTGGCCCCAGTGCCAGGGTGGGGAGCAGAGGGGCCAGGTTGGGTGCTGGAGCTGTGTTTGGGAGCCAGGAGGGGGCACGAGGGGGGCAGGCTGGCTAATGCTCTGGTAACCTTGTACCGTGGTGCTGCTGTCCTCACTGCTTTGTGCCATCTCTGCTCTGGAAAGAGAATAAATTTGTATTTATACTGAGACCTGGATCAGTGCTCTGGCCTCTTCTGTCCGTGCATCTCGGCTGAGTGGCTCCCGGGGCTGTGCCGTGCTGGCCCTGCTCCTGCAGGGCTGCAGGGACACAGCCTGCACTGGGTCACCCTGGCTGTCCACACCGTTTGGGGCACAACAGGAGCTGTTAGCAGAGCTCCAGCTTCCCCAGACTCAAATATGTCCCCAACCACCATCTTCATCCTCTTCCAGCAAGGTCTGTTCAGGCCATGTAGCAGCCTTGAGGGGTGGGGCAGGGGCTCTATGGGGACAGCCCCTCTTTCTCATGCAGGAACTTTGGCTGTAGGAAACCCCAGAGCCTCTGGAAGGATGCAGGCAGCAGTGGGATGCTGGGCAGGCCAGGCAGTCCTCTCCCTCTGTGCTTTCTCTTTGGACCTCCATTAAAGCTTCAGCACCCAGAGGTGTCCAGGTGCCTCTGTCCCAAGTGCTGCCCRTGTTCACAGTGCCTCCGAGGCACARCGAGGGGTTCAGCTGGGGACTCKTGGCCCTCCCCACTGCASRGACTTGGCTGATGGTGATGCCAGCCCAGGACAGACACTTTTCGGGCTACACCTGCTCTGAGCCCTGCCTGGAAGGACTGGCAGTGCTGGGCAAAGCCCTGACACAGTGCCACTGCTGGGAACTTYGGGGACACTCACATAGGAGAAATGCAGCCTCCTCAGCCACCCCTCTCAGGAGCAGCCCAGACTGTCCCATCCTTGTGCCACGGGCTGCAGGGYGAGGCGGGAGGTGTGGGGTGTGATCAGGGAAGCCAGTCACGTTCAGGAACAAATCCAGCCCGTGGTGCCAGGGAAGAGCTTTTATTTGTCAGCCAGCAAAGCTCGGTGGCGCCCGCTTGAAAGGCGCTGGAGCCGGGGAGTCGGGGCAGGGGTGCGATGGGCACAGCGGGGCTGCTGGGCCAGTGGTGGCACGGTGGGGACAGCACTGTTCCCGTGTCACTGCCGGGCCAGTCCCCAGCCCCGGGGCTCCCTCTGAGGGTATGAGAGCCCTGCTGCTGGGCCGTGCCCCTTGGTCAGTGGCCTGGCAGCCTTCCCCAGGCAGGGAGAGCTGACCCTGCTCAGGGCTGCTCATGGCCCTGCTCTTTGCTGCAGTGCTCCAGGGGTGCAGTACACTCTCCTCTGGCTGCTATGGGGCAGGGGGTATTTCTGCCTCTTCTTGCCCACTGCCAGCTCACTGCTCCCCACATCTCGCCTCTTCCAGGGCCTCTCCAGATGTTTTGTCCTCCAGCTGTGGGGACCCCTCAGCTGGACCCAGCCCCTCTCTGGGAGRCCCCAGCTCTGGGGCTCCATTTGGCTGAGCCTGGGCTTTGTTCCCTGTGCCAGCTTCCTCTGCTCCACCGGCTCCTTGCTCCAACCCCTGCACTTGCCCTGCTGCCTGTGCCTCCCCTGTCTTCCCACACCTCCCTGCTCCAGGCTTTTCCATTTTTGCTGCTAGACTCTCTTTCTTTTTGACCTTCTTTACTTTCCCCTTTGCTACTGTCTCCTCTTTCCCCTCCTTTTCTTCCTTCCTTTCTTCTTTCTTTTCTTTCTTTTCTTCTTTCTTTTCTTTCTTTTCTTCTTTCTTTTCTTTTTCTTTTTTCTTTTCTTCTTTCTTTACATCTTTCTTTCCTTTCTTTCCTTCTTTCTTTCCTTCTTTGTTTGCTTCTTTCTTTCCTTCTTTATTTCCTTCCTTTTTTCCTTCTTTTTTTTCTTCCTTCACTTCTTCCTTCACTTCTTCCTTCACTTCTTCCTTCACTTCTTCCTTCACTTCTTCCTTCACTTCTTCAGCCTCTTCTAATTTCTCTTCTGCCTCTGCGCCCCTCTCCACCTTCTCCCCCATTTCCCCTTTGTCTTCCTTTTTTTCCTCATCTACCTCCTCCTCCTTCTCCAATTTCTCATTTTTTTCCTCTGACCCCCTCTCCACCTTTTCCTCTTCCCTCTCCTCTTTTTCTTCCTTYTCTTCCTCYTTCTCCKCCTCCCCCTCCCCTTCTTCCTCCCTCTCCTCTTTCTCATCTCCCTCCTCTCTTCCCCGGCTCCCTGGCTTTGCCCTACAGGTGCCCAAGTTTTGTTCTTCCCCCAGTCCTGTCTGATCCCTCCCTTCCACCTCCGCCCCCACAGGCTCTCCCCGGGTTGTYTCTCCTCCAGACGCTTCCCCTTCAGCCCCAGCCCTGAGGGTCTCTCGTTCAGTCCCTCGTTGTTCTGTTACTCCAGTCTCACTACCCTGCTCCCCCTGCCCAGGGCTCTCCTGGACCCCAGCCTCACCCTGCGGTGCCCCATCACCCACCTCCCTGCTCTCCCGCCCACCCCGGCCCTTCTGACCCTGGGATGACTGGAAGAGCCCCTGGTAGCGYTTCCGATCCTCCACGTGCTTCTTCCTCATCCTCTCCCCGAGCTGCTTCAGCTCCTTCTTCACCGCGGCCGCCATGGAGGGGTCCAGGTGAGCCACGCGCTGGAAGTCCTCCCGCGCCTCCCGCTCGTTCCACACGGCAGCGTGCGCCTTGGCCCGCTTGAAATATGCCTTGGCATTGTCTGCCAGGAGAGAAGAGCCCCCCGGAGGGGCCCTGCAGCTCAGGACCACCACCCACAGGTGCTCGAGTCCCTGGGGATGAGGGGATGTGAAGCACAGGGGGCAGTGGGGTGTGGGGTGGGTACACCTGTAGGGCGGGCAGGGACAGCGGGTCTATGCATGTACCACAGTGGGCAGCAGGGCACAGGGAGCGCAGGGATCATCGTGGAAAGGGGAAGTGTGCTGGGGTGGGTGGGGGGACCTAGAGGTGCCATTATGGGCAGGGGAAACCGGGGACTCTGTCCTGGGCAGGGCAAACTGGGACATGGGGTCCAGGTGACACAGGGGCTATCCCAGGCAGAGGGACACAGGGTGAGCATTGTCACAGGTGGGGGATTCAGAGGACAGAGTCCCGGGAGCCATGGGCACAGCAGGGGCTGGGAAGCAGGGCACAGGTACCATTGTGCTTTTGGAGAAGCTCCGTGGTGTGCTCCAGCACCTCGTAGTACTCGCCRAGCTCCAGCTGGCACTGGCAGTAGTTGAGCACCAGCGGCGTCACCAGGCTCTCCAGCTTCAGCCAGCCATCCTCCCACGGCTTCTCCTGCCCCAGGAGCAACACTGGGCGGTTCATGGCTGTGCCATCCCCTCCAGGCACCCCGGGGACATGGGGAAGGGCTCTGAGGTGTGACCCAGGCAGGGCTGGGGAGGGGGCTGCTCCTGCTCACCTTGGCCTGGAGGTTCCTGAGGCAGATGACAGCCTCCTGGTACTTGGCCGCAGCCTGTGCGAACTCCCTGCGCAGGACGAGGCGATTGCCCTCGCTGTGCAGCACGGGCACTGCYGCCAGCTTCTCCTCCTTGCTCATGGCCCACGTGTCACGTTTGTACGCGGAGGGATCCTCCACCTGCGGGGCAGGAGGAGCTGAGTGACCCATGCCCACCTCTCCCACTCGAGCAGCCATCCCTGCCATCCCCCCTACCCGGAACAGCTCCATGATGAAGATGAGGGGCTGTGGTGTCCGCTGCAGCTCGTCCAGGTCGTCGTAGCCCGTGCTGTGGTAGTCGAACATGTTGCCCATGCCACAGCGGTGCTTCTGGCCTTCCAGGGGGTCCCGGCCCTCGGCGATCCTCCGCATGCCCCTGGACACCAGGGCATACATGCCTGTGTGCTGCAAGGAGGGGGAGCACCCTGCTCAGCCCTGGGTGGCTGCACCCCCTTGTCTGGGGCAGCCCCCGGTGCTGGGCTAAGTCACACCCTGTGCTTGCACCAGACAAGGCCAGAGCATCTCTGGGATGCACCGTCCTGTGCCCTGGTGCTGCAGGAAGGAGGGGAGCGGGYGTCTGTGGGCTCCTCACTCACAATGGTGTCACACCAGAACTCAGCCACCTCCCCAATCCTCATGGAGCTGAGCAGCGTCTCCCAAATCTCCAGCTTGAACATCTTGCCCACGATGATCTCCATGGGCATGCCAGCTTCCCGGCTGTCATCGATCACCGTCCGCTCAAAATCATCCTTCAACGTCTGGAAGTGGAAGGTGAACTGCCCCGGAGAGAGACCAGTGGTGAGAGCCCCCTCAGCAGCCACGGTGACCTCAGCTGTGGGGTCAAGCTTGCTCCCAGCACTGGTCTGAGTGGCAGCTCTCCCTCCACAGCAGGAGATTGTGCCTCTTTCCCACTGAAGACAGCAAGTAGATGGTGGGATGCCTTAGCAACCATCCATGCTGTATCTTGCTGCTCCCCATGGACCCCCTTTATCCCCCAGCTCCAAGGGTGCTCTCACAGCATGCACCAGGACTGGGGGAACCCACAGTGATTTGCTGGGAACCAGCTGTTGGCACATCTCACTCTCGCCTGGCACCTGGCAGGAGAGGCAGACTTCAGCAACCCGCTGGGGCTGCTGAGCTCTGACAGGAGAGAGGGAAGAGGTGTCACTGGGCTGGTGCAAGGAGAGCCTGTGGGCACTGCCAGCTGTCTCTGTGACAGCCACATGGCTCCCTGTGCCTAAATCACCCCTCCTGCACCCCTGTTGTGCAGGATCTCACTGTTCCCCTGGAGAACTTTGACCTGGAGCTGGGCTTGTGAACCATAACAGGCAGGGATGGTGATTTCAGACCCACTCCCTCTCCCAGGGCTCTGAAGGTACAACATCCCAATTTACCTTGCTCCCATCCTGCAGCTTTGGCAGCTCTCCTCGGCCTCCAGACAGAATCTTCTTTTTGACCCCTTCCACATTCAGCAGGTAAGTTTCTTCCATGGCTGCTCGCAGATCACACGCACCCTAGCACGCTCTGGAGCTCCACGTCTTCCTTAGGTGTCTCTGGACATACACATCGTCTCCCAGGGCTCCTGCTGCCCTTTTCCTTTCTGTGCTGGGGGCAGAGCCTTCTCCCCCTGCCCTCGGGTTCTGAGAGGGGCGTTCTGCCCCTCGCACACACTTGCTGAAGCCCCCGGTGTCCTCTGTTGCTTTCCGTAACCACCCTTCTAATCCTCTTCCCACCCTGTCAGGTTAATCTGGGATTTGCCTGCATAGTCTGTGAGGAATTATAGGAACTCCCTGATCAGGAGRGCCTCGTTCCTCCCAACAAGTGACAGCACTTTTGACCCAGCTCCACCCAGAGCACTTTGGGGAAGGAGCCCAGMAGTGCCCCAAAGGTGCCCAGGCATGGCTCACTGCTGGGGGCTGTGTGGTTGGGAGACCACAAAGGAACAGACCAGAGTTGAAAAGGAAACTTTATTGAGTTTGGTTTGCAGACACAAGGATTCCTCAAACATGAGAACAAGCTCCCACCAGGCCACAGCCCATCAAGGCCAAGACTCAGTAAGAGGCAGAAACCAGCACGGTGCTGTCCCAGGCAGATCAGTGGTGACTATTTACAGTAAATCCGGTGGTTTGGCTGCTCTCACAGGCATAGTCCAGTTCTTCAGCTCCACCAGCCAAACCCAGCACAGTGGATGTGAAATCAACTCTGGACATGGACCCTSTACCACTGCCAGCAGCACAGCTGGCAGCAGAAGTGTGTGACTGAAGCAAAGACTTCAGCATGGCAGGAGACCACTAGCTCCAGATGTGCTCACAAAGACTCAGGCCCACTCCTCACTTCTCCATGAGGGATTCCAGCTGCTCCTGCAGGGAWGCCATCTGGGGAGAAGGAGTGAGACATTACAGTAAGGCATTTCTGTATTCCTGCACATCCTCTACCCACATCAGGCTTGCTCTGCCTGTGCATTACCTGGAGCTGTGCCTGGGCTCCTCTGGGACAGAWCTGGGACTGCCCACAGGGGTTTGGGAGCAAAAACCTCCTGCCCCAGTACCTGGCTGAAACAAAGCTGTCCAGGCAGAAAGTCTGCCACAGCCCTACGGCCATTGTCTGCCTCATACACGGGTGCTAACGGGTTTGTGTACCATGTTTTACCCCAGGCAGCAATCCTGGCACTGCTGACCAGACTTGTTTTGGCTCRCTGCTCCTCCAGAAAGAAGGCTGCAATCAACCCCATTCCCTGYATCTCCTTCTGCCTGAGGAAGCTCCATGCAACTACAGATGAGGTACAACCTCACCTGACCTGTAACACRGGAGCTCACAGCAGCTGATGCGGTACAAGATTTGGGGAACTTTGTCAGAAGCCAAGCCCAGAACCATGCTGTGYCCYMGTACCTCCCACTCCACTGTGGGAAYTTCCTCACCTGCTGCTTCTCTCGCTCTTCCTGCTGCTTGAACTCATCCAGCACAGCCTGGAGACGGGTCTGCAGAGACAAACATGCCAGACCACGGTTATCAATGCATTCTCAGCTGAGTAGGTGCTGCCACAACGAGTCAAAAGGCACACCAAGCCACAGGCTGCATTGACAACCACCCCTTTATCTCCTCCAGTTTCAAAGATGGCTTTGCCTCCGTAGAGAAATGATGGAGTGGGTAAGGCCAYACCACAGCCATTTTTAACACAGCACCCAAAGGTCCCTGGATTTTCCAGGGTAGCAGYTGAATCAGTCTGCTGGATCTAAAGRTGAGCCAGGGCTAAGCAGAACACTTAAAGAGACCCCAGGAGAGCTCTCACCTTGAGGGCAAGGTTCTCCACTTTCATGATGAGATCCTCCTGACGCTTCCTCCTGTCTTGAGTCTCCTGGAGTTTACTTTTCAGGTTGTCAATCTGTTTCTGGATGCCCATGGCTGGAAGGGAGAGCAAGCTCAGACCCAGAGCAGCAGCAGAGCTGGGAGGCACAGCCTGCCTGGCATCCCAACAATTCTGCCATGTTCTGTTGGCCACTCACCGATCTGGTTGCAGCCCTCATTCTCCTGCTGCTGCCCATCAGACTCATTCAGCTTGTCCTGCAGCTGTCTCTCCAAGTCTTCCTCAGTGTCCATGATGTTCAGGTCTTCATCATCATGATGATCCCTCTCATCTTCATCCTCGCTGCTGCTGCTGATATCATTAAATATCTCCCGCAGTTCATCATGTTCTAGGTGGGGGAAAAAGAGTTAAAACAGCTGCCAACCTCCCAGCACCCTCTGCCTGCCAGGGATCATATCTAGAAATAAAACAGCCCTCCCCATGCACCTGAGCCATGGCCTTGCTTATGCCCCGACATCCCGGGGGAGGAGATGTCCAGGCTGGTGAGTGAACCATGGTTGTCCACTTCTTTTGTTTCATCTTCAGCAATAACTTCCCAGCCTGGCAGCAGGAGCAAGTGAGTCAAGGGAAAAAGAGGAACATGGAAGATGCAGTGTGATGGAAGAACACTAAAAACCACAGGACATCACTGCCCCTCCAACAAGTCGGGCCTTGTAGCAATGGATACCCATACAGGGTAAAACACCCCAAACCTCTTTTTTGATGATTTCTCCTYCCCAGACCCCTTTTTTGATGACTTCTCTTCTACTATTTCAGTTCCTGCTTAGTACAGCAGTACAGTCCACAAGAAAGGTCACCYTGAGGAAACAATAACCTTTGAACAAGGCAAAGATGAAGCTCCAAAATTTCAGTGCCTCTTGTGTGTTTATCTCCCAGTCTCCCACACCCACACATAGCCCAACTTGTTCTTTCCAGAACYCCCCAGGTCACACCATGTCCTGTCCTACTCTTGAGCTTTTTGTCCCACTAAAAGGATACGGACACTGACAGCTTCAGCATCGGTGCTCAGGAGACGCTTCACCTCTTTTTCCACATCAGGAGACTCAATATACTGGGCCAGAGAGGGGAAAGAGAACAGAGACACTGTTAAATGCCTCATGCATGCTGCTGGGGCTTCTCAACTCCAAGCCTCCATCTCTGGACAAAGCACTGTTTCAAGGCTTTCCTACCTTCTGCTTTCCACTCAGAATTTGCTCACACTCAACTGTGATAAGTAATTTATGCAGCCCCCAAAAACAATCCATCTTTTTTGTACCCTGGTAGGTTGTGTGCTCTCRCTTTTCTGCTTATACTACTTATTTCATAAGACTCTGTGTGTATGCAGAAAGTCCTTGAGGTGTTGACGGTCAACTCAACTCAACTGAACTCAACTCCTTCCCATCCCACTCAAAAGAAGGCTTCATTTTTCACTTTTAAATTAGTCAGGAATTTCACTGCAGTGGTATCAAATCTCTCCTGTGGGCTACAAGGATGTCTCAAGTAATTTGTTTCCCAAATGTCATGCAAAATCACACTCCATCCTGTTCTCAGAAACTGCAAAGGAGAGAAGAACAAGTCTTCCCAGCCTCAGGGTGCTGCATCTCCCCAGCACCTTGCCTGGCTTGTGCATATGCACTGAGACCGTCTCTGAGCTCCATCTGTTGTCACTCCCCCGGCTGAAATGACAGTGGTACTATTTGGGGAAGGGAATGGGCCATGCATAAACAGAAGATTTAGGCTGGAAAAGCAGGAATGAGTGAAGCCTCATTTCCATGTGAGTCYTCCTTCCTTTCTTTATGAGCAGGAAGAGATGTGCTGTGGCAAGGCAGCCACAGGAATGAGGTCCAGCAGTACTCTGCACAGAGGATCTTCCCCTCAGAAGCATCTTGGAAAAGGCACCCAAAGTGCTTAAATCTACTACCGTCCTCTCACCCTCATCTCAGGCAAGGAAACATTGAACAAATGTTAAGAAAACACATGGCTTCTGCAGCAATGACAGTCACAGCTCTAATGTCTCTGCCCTTCCATCCTTTGGTATTGCATCTGTGTAAGAAGCAACTCACCTTCTTCTTAGCTGTCTTCCGGAATCGCCGCTTCCGTACGTTTTTCAGGGGAAGAGTGACTGAGACAGAGGAAACAGATTTCATGTGTCAGGCAGAAGGCCCACGTGTCAGAAGGGAGAAGATCCCTTCAGCAACAGAGAGAGCCCCGGAAAGGAGCAGCAGCACAGCCAGCACCTGGCAGCTGTGAGCACACTGCTCAGATGTGAGGTGCAGGGGTGGAGGGGTTTGGCATAGCCTCTACTCACTGCCATGGTTCCATATAAATTTCTTCTCTCTGTCCTTGTCCTTCTTCTTGTTTGCCTTGGGGTCAGTGCTCACAGTTTGCTCTTCCAAAGGTGGGTAGAGATCACCATCCACAGTGCAAACAAGCATCTGGAATCCCGCCACGAACACAAGGATGTGAAGGAACAGTGACTGCCCACTGCATGTCGTGAGCCAAAGGGATTCAGGGGCTCAGGGTGTGGGAAACTGTTCCACCCCCAGCTCAGCTGGACACAGCAGCAGTTAAGCTGTCACAAGAACAATTTAATTTTGCGCTTCAGAAATGAYGTTTCTAAACACCAAGTGGAATGGGGAATTTTAAACTGCTAATATTGTGAGAATACAGGCCATGTTATACTGGGTGTCCAGCTGCCAAAGAGTACAAGGGTTTTCCTGGAGAGGAAAATTGAAAATTAAACTGTTGGTGCAGGCAAGGACAGCTCATACCTGGCAAATATCCGCTGTCTTGTAGAAGGTTTTCTTGTCGATGGTTTTTAAGCTCTCGATGATGCAGGGCAGATCCACCAGCTTGGCTGCCAGAGGCACCCGGTCCACACGGACAATCCCATGGCGCCCGTCCGCTGCAGAGAGCCAGGGGACAGGTCAGTGCTGCGGCTCAACAGCACCCTGAGAAATACAGCCCCAGGCAGCAACAACTTCATGGGACAACACATGCAAGTGGCACAGGCAGAGTGCCTGGAGCAGATGCCCTGGTCCTGCTCACTCACCATGCAGCTCAATGGTGAGCCGGTCCTTCAGGTTGACATTCCCAGACTGGACAGCTCGCCGCACGGTGGAGGCATATTCCTGGGAAGGGAATACTTCAGGAGTGGGTGTGCTTCCTCCAAGAATTACCCAA